GGCCGTACCTGAGGTGTCTGTGGGGACGAAGTTAGCTGTTGATGCACATACCCAAACTGAGCAAGTGTGCCATAAACAAGCACGACCGGATCCACGAGTACACTAACATACTATATAAGCACCCTTTAGGATCTTGAAATAGACTTAGAGCACACCACAAACTATACTACAAGTGATTGTAAGTAGTCCAAGGTTTGGTCCAAGCACATGTAAAATTCTCTTTACATTTAACATTGAACGTCCTAGGCTCGGACCAATTGTCCGCTTATGCATCACATTGTAATAAATTTTAGATATAAAAAAATAAAGAAAATAAAACTTTTGCCATATGCGATTCGAACCGGGGCTCTAAGATTTTCTAAGCAGATACACTATGTGCCTGCCAACGACGCACATGAAAATTCGATGACTAAGTGCCTACATATCAGTAAATCGTTAATTGTACCCGTTGTGCCCTACTGCGTGACAATGTAACCAATTTTAGAACAAAACTCATACCTTATGCATTACATACATTAGATACAAAACTACTATACCTACGAATATATTTTTCTTTGCAACTGGACCAATGTTTCCTTCAGGGCAAATGCTCCGCGAACACTAATGATACAATTTGGTACATGCATAACAAAGGGTTAATTTCTTTGTTTAAATTTTTTTGACATTCAGTCAGCTATGAGGGAGCTCGACTGAGTTGTCACTTCTACCTTGTTGAATATACCTTGCTGTCGCTTTGATAACTTCCAATAGTGACGAAGAAGTGAAATCGGGGCGATAGGCGATAAAATTCTCTTCCAATTGCTGGCGGGGTAAGCTTCAACAGGAAAAATTGAAAAGAATATCATATGTTTTTCATTTGTATTAAATCGCATTCTTTTACAAAATAATCAAACTACTAACGAAGAAATCGATGCATAGCAGAGTAAGAGTTGTTTTTATACGCGCATGTTTAGATTGGTAGAAGTCGGTAATTTTTGAATTATAGGATATTTGGTGTTGTATATAAGTGTCTGAGCAGGTATCCAAACTTGACAAGAATGCCATCCAAAACCTTTTTCTAAAATTGTTGACGTGTGTAATCATTTCGAATGCAATGTATGACCATAAAAATAACACAAACATAACATTTGATAAATATGACATTTGACCAGTTTTGTTACATTCGCATTCCCAAAAGCTCCGCATTAATTATTGCGAATGCGAAAGCGAAAGCGAATGTTAAAATTAATGCGGAAGCTCCGCGGTTGCGAATGCGAATGCGAATATTCGCAACAACCCTGCTTACGACATGCTATCGAATTCTGCAACTACTATTCCATCTCTACAGCTAGGCTATTTAAAAAGGTATCGACGAAAATATTTTGGTTTCCCCATAAGGCTAACATTACAATCCAAATGTTTAAAACGTTTTTTCTTGAATTCGGGTTTTTCGACTCCGGCGGTTATTTGCATAAGACCACAGACATATGCCATCCCTTGTCAAGTTTCTCTACTCTACCTACCTCTAAATTCGCGTACAAAAACCACTCTAAGGTAGCGGAGCCTTTTGACCATTCACGACTTTTATTTATCCATAGATCCTCTTCGTTGGTAGCGTGATTTTTCTTTGTAAACTGTACATATGAAAAAGCAAGTACAAAAAACCTGTTATTTTTTGGTTCCTTTTTATATTATTTTTCATAAAAAAAACAAAAATGTGAAATGATTAACAAATTTCTCAAAAACAATTAGGACTATCGAAAATAGATTTATATATCATTAAGATTGCTTAACTGGTTCGTTAGATATACCTGGAACCACTTTTTTATTTTAACTGAGTAACGGTAAATTTCAAATATCATACTTGTCCCTAAAAAAAAAACTCGATTTTCGGAATCAACGAGCGACATAGGAATTAGATCTTATCAAGTTGTCGAACGGACCATAGAAGTGTTCTCGAGTTCCCCAATCAAAATTATCCAGCAGCATTCGCTCTCAAAGAGAAAACGTATCAAAAGATGTACGAGAACTCAAAATTAAAAAAAAAAACTTGCAAGCATCGAAAGAGCTGTTGCCACAAATGATCATTTATTTTTGGGAGACTGCATCAAAAATGAAAAAACCCTTCTAAGACCGTTGTACGTTTAAAACTATAAACTTTTCATTTCAACAATCAAACAAACTGACGAATTGTGCCAAAAAACAGTTTATTTTGCTGTATTTCTTTATTCTGTTGGTATATTTTAGTATAAAATTTGGCACAAATCAAAAAATTTACTTAAAATAAACTCAAAAAATCTGATGATTAATAACTTTACTCCCCTTTTTAATTGTATACTAGCATTAATTATAAGATTAGCAGGAAATAATTCAAAAATATTCACGAACATATACACATATGTACATACGTATGTCTGTGATCAGCTTTTTTACATGTAAGTTTTCGTAACTACCATTTGCCATCAGGAGTTTAAAGTCTATCAGCTGATTACCAAAAAATGCCTACAGCTGAGATAACCTGTTTTTTGGCATTTTCTCTTTTTTTTTACAATTTAATCAATTTCTATTACAGTTTTCGCCATTTCTATTACAATTTATTCAAAATACACTAACACACTGAACCAAAAACACACCTACAGCCTGCCAGGAAAAACGGTAAGAAGAAGAGTTACGTTACTTATAGAACTGTACGATGACAAACAGTTTTCTCGCTCACTCTTGACAAAATCGGCTCGCTTTTTACATATCGTATAAAGGAAAATTAGATTTGTTTCTGTACAAAGCAGATGCACGTACAGTGGTCCAAAAAAATAAAGTCGGAGTTTTAATGCCGGCACACCCTAGGATTGATCTATATTGAAAAAATATACCCCTATTTTTTTATTTTGAAATCAAAAAATATTTAAGGAGTGCTCAAGGTGCTCAAAGTTTTCCATGTATTTTATATGGAGAAAAAACAATTTTTCGTAGAAATGGTATAAAACTCTTGAAAATCAATATTTTTCGACCGGAAAACTGTGGTTCTCTTCAGGAGACTTCCAGTATTAATATCCAATTGTTTAACCATTTTTTATGATTAAAGATTTTTTATTGGTCCCCACATTGCATTTGCTAAGGGCTTTGGAGGACCTATAAAATATAGTTACCATGAAAAATTTTTTAAAGAAACAATTGAGTATTATTACTGAGAATCTCCTGAAGATAAGTAAAGTTTTGCGATCGAAAAATATTGATTTTCAAGAATTCTACACTATTTATACTAAAAGTTGTTTTTTCTCCATATAAAATACCTGGAAAACTTTGAGCGCTTTGAGCACTACTTAAATTATTATTTTTTTT